CCGGGGGGCCCCCCCTCGGGAGGGGCCCCCCGGGGGGCCCCCCGCAGCGAGGGGCCCCGAGGGGCCCCAGGGGGGGACCCCTCAATAGAACCGCCACGGGGGGCCCCCAGGGGCCCCTGTGCTGCTTGGGACATTCGGACTCAGAGAGACAAGAGACGGAGGCCCCTGGAAAGGGCCAGACACATCTGCTGCTGCTGCTGCTGCTACGGGGGGAGGGGCCTTCGCTGCTGCTGCAGCTCCGGTTCTCGTGCTGCTGCTGCTGCTGGTGCTGCTGCTGGGGGGCCCTGGGGGCCCCTTGTTGGAAAAGAGAGACGGGAGCCCCTAAATTAAAATAATGGATTTTTAACAAAGAAAACAAATGCCGGTCAAACCGGAAACAGAGACACGCAGTTGCTGCTGCTGCTGCTGCTGCTGATGCTGCTGCTGTGGGCCCCGAGACCCCACTCCGGGGGGGCCCCTGGGGGCCCCTAGATGCAGTAAAGGAGCAAATAAATAAATAAAATAGAGTAAATTTGGTTTACTGTAGTTTTTATTGAAGAAAAACCTGTTCCCCAAACCCTAAACCCTAAACCCTATACCCTAAACCCTAATCCTCGAACCCTCGTCGTGTCTCGAGTGCTGGGGCACCAGGGGAGTTCCAAAATCGATTTATTTATTTCTTCCTTTCCCCGTCTTTTATTTGTATTTATTTAAAATATTATTTTATTATTTACAGTAAGGGTTTAGGGTTTATTGCGAGGGTTTAGGGTTTACAGCCTCACGGCCAGGGTTTAGGCCGGGGGTCCCCTTCCTGCTGTCTGTGCTGCTTCCGTGCAAGGCAGCAGCAGCAGCAGCAGCAGCAGCACATGATCCAACGAATCGTAGAGTGTACTGCCTATGGCCTTTGTCCCAAGATTTAGAGTTTGGACTTTAGGGTTTAGGGTTTAGGGTTTAGGGTTTAGGGTTTGCAGCACATGCCCTTCGGCATAGTTGGGCGTAGCAGGTAACAACCGGAAAACTGCCGATGAAGCAGCAGCAGCAGCAGCAGCAGCAGCAAGAGGCGCAGCAAAGTCGAGACTCCGAAGAGAAGCAGCGGCAAAGACTGCAGCAGCAGCAGCAAAATGAAGTAATTCTTGCGCGCCAAGGGCTCCAGCAACAACAGCAGCAAGCGCTGCAGCAGCTGCAGCAGCAGCTGCAGCAGCAGAGGCAGCAGGGGCATCTGCTAGAAAAACGGGAACACCTGCACCAGCAGCAGCAGTGTGGCATGACCAGCATAGCTCAGCTGCTGCCTTGCTGCTGCTGCTGCTGCTGCTGCTCTGTTTCCGTTTGCTGGGGGGCCCTTGAGGGGTGGGTCCCTCAGGGGGGCCCCTGCTGCGCTGCAGCAGCAGCAGCAGGAGCTTGGAATGCATGCAGAGGCTTCAGGCGGGGGGCCCCTGGTGCAGCTACTACTTCTGACGTGCTGCTGCTGCTGCTGCAGCAGCAGCAGCAGCAAAGAGACCTAGCAGCCGACCGCCTGCTGCAGGCAGTGGGGCTGAGGCCTGCTGCAGCAATGCGGCAACAGCTCAACACACTGCTGCTGCTGCTGCAGCAGCAACTAGACCAGCTGCTGCTGCAGCACGGCCTGACACAAGCTCAGCAGCAGCAACGCAAACAGCAGCAACAGCACCAACAGCACCAACAGCAGCAGCAGCCTGAGCTGCAGCAGCAGCAGCAGCATCAAGAGGAACAGCAGCAGGAAGCAGACTATGAGGATCCTTCAGAGGGGCCCCCAGACGAGCCGCAGCAAACAAACCCCCCGAGCGAAATCCCTGGGGCCCCCCAAGGGGCCCCCCAAGGGGCCCCCCAAGGGGCCCCACAGGGGGCCCCACAGGAGAGTTTAGTACTTGAGAACATTCTGGAAAGATCCCCAAATGGAGTTCCGCAAGGACTATTTTCGGGAGACGACTCGTCTGCTGCAGCAGCAGCAGCAGATGCTGCTGCTGCTGCTGCTGCTGCTGCTGCTGCTGCTGCTGGGGGCGCAGCAGAGGAAAAGGTTTCTCTGGCTGGATATGTTGCTGCTGCTGCAACAGCAGCAGCAAAGAGATCACGCAGGAGAAGGCTTGAGGCCCTACTGGCCCGAGAGGCCCTTTACAGGGTACTTCACGCAGCACAAAGGGCCCCCCAGGGGGCCCTTCAAGGGGACGCTCAAGGGCCCCCCCAAGGGGCCCCCCAGGGGGCCCCCCAAGAGGCCCTTCAAGGGGCCCCCCAGGGGGCCCCCCAAGGGGCCCCCCAATCGCCAACAGACGGCCAAAAAGAATGTCCAAGGACCGCTTCAGAAGTCCCTGTTGAGGGCCCCACAGCTGGAGGCCCCCTGATAGCTGGGGGCCCCACATCTGGGGGCCCCATACATGGGGGCCCCACATCTGGAGGCCCCACATCTGGGGGCCCCAAAGAGGGTGCAGCAGGCGGTGGTGAGGGCCACTTAGGGGGCGAGGGCCTTAGGGTACTGGAGAGGGGGCCCCCAAAAGATGGGGGCCCCCCATATGGCGGGGGGCCCCCCAATGGCGGGGGCCCCCCAAGTGGGGAGGGGCCCCCAAATGGCGGGGGGCCCCCAGATAGGGGGAGGGGCCCAGATGGGGAGAGCCTTTTGCTGCTAGATGGTTCCTTAGAGAAAAAGGAAACAGGAGTGCAGCAGCAGCAGCTGCTGCAGCAGCTGCTGCTGCAGCAGCTGCTGCCGAGGTCCCCTTTGGCTGCTTGGGTTACTTCTGCGGCAGCAGCAGCAAGCCCTGCCAAGAGCAGCAGCAAAAGAAGAGGCCGCTCTAGCTCCAGACCTGCTGCTGCAGCTAGGCGCACTCCCGAATTTCTGCTGCTTCTCACCCCAACACAGCAGCAGCAGCAGCAGCAGCAGCTGCAGCAGCAGCAGCTGCAGCAGCAGCAGCTGCCGCAGCAGCAGCTGCCGCAGCAGCAGCTGCCGCAGCAGCAGCTGCCGCAGCAGCAGCTGCCGCAGCAGCAGCTGAACTGTTGGGCGGACGAGGAGACAAACGGCGAGGAGACAGCAAAGGCGCAGCAAAGTGCAGCAAAAACGGGCAGCACGAGCTCTCCACCCACAGTGCAGCAGCAGCAGCAGCAGCAGCAGCAGCACAGCCACCGAGCATGTCTGCAGCAACAAGCGCCGCAGGAGGAAGAACAGCAGCTATGTAAACTTCAGCAGCAGCAGCAAGAGCAGCAGGAGCAGATGCAGCGACAGGAGCAGCAGAAATTCGAGCAGCAGCTGCAGCAACAGGTGAAGCAAGAGCTACCGTTGTCACCGCAACAGCAAGAGCAGCAGCAGGAGCAGCAGCAGCAGGAAGAGCAGCAGCAGCAGAAGCAGCGGGGGAGACAACAGCAGTGGCAGCAGCCGCGTCTGTTTTTCTCTCCTGCTGTCGAGACTGCTGCAGCAGAATGGCTGCATGCGGTTTGCTGCTGCCGCGGGCTGCAGCAGCAAAGGCCTTCAACAGCAGCACAAGGAAATGCTGCTGTCCTTAGAGCCATCAAGCAGCTGGACATGCGTTGGCTGCAGCAGCAGCAGCGGGAGCAGCGGGAGCAGCAGCAGCAGCAACGGCAGCAGCAGCAAGGGCAGCAGCAGCTGTTGCAAGAGCAGCCAGAGCAGCGGCAGCAGCAGCACGAGCGCCGGCAGCAGCAGCAACAGCAAGAGCAGCAGCACCAGCAACAGCGAGAGCAACAGCAAGAGCAGCAACAGCAGCTAGAGCAGGCGCGACGGCAGCCGGAGGAGCTGCAGCAGCAGCAGCAAGAGCATCAAGATGGGCTACAACAGCAGCGGAAACTGCAGCAGCAACAACAGGTCCTGCAGCAGCAGCTGCTCCTGCCGCCTCTAGTGAGCAGCTGCAGCTCATTAGGCCCCAGCAGTTCTCAGAACGCTGTCAGCAGCAGCAGCAGCAGCAGCAGCAGCAGCAGCAGCCACAGCAGCAGCAAGAACGACAGCAACAATGGTCACTGTAGAATTAACAGCTGCACGGAAGGTGGTAGCATATGCAACAGCAGCGGCAGCAGCAGCAACAATGACGGCTGCAATAGCAGCAGCAGCAGCAGCAGCAGCGCTGCGGGTCTGCTGCCGCTGGAAGTGGGGTATGTTTTCTGGGGGCCTCCCTCATCTCCCTTCAAGTGTCTTTACAAAGGTAACGCTGCTGCTGCTGCTGTTGCTGCTGCTGCTGCTGCTGCAGTAGCAGCAAAGAGTCCCGCAGCAGCAGAAGAGCAAGCTGCGGCAAGTTGTGCAGCAGCAGCACTAGCAGCAGCAATAACGGCGGAAGAAGCAGCAGCAAGTACAGCAGCAGCAGCAAGTGCAGCCACAGAACCATCAGCAGCAGCAGCACAACCAACGGCAGAAGCAGAAGCACAAACAGCAGCAGCAGACCCAACACTGAGAGACAGTGCAGCAGCAGCAGACACAGGAACAGCAGTGGGCAGCAGCAGCTCTGTCACAACAGCAGCAGGTGCAAGAGCAGCAGCAGACAGCAGCAGCACTGCTGCAGCAGCAGAGACAGAAGCAGCAGCAGCAGGAGGAGGAACATCAAGAGGAGCAGCAGCAGCAGAACTTAAAACAGCAGCTGCAGCGCCGGAACCGCCAGCGCCAGCTCTAGGAGACGTAGCGGCCCCACTGTCCCCGGTAGCAGCAGCAGCAGCAGCAGCAGAAGCAGCAGCAGCAGCAGCAGCAGCAGATGAAATGTGGGAGATGGTAGTTAAGGTTTTGGGGGCCCCCGGCAGCTGCCTAATATACCACGGCCCCAACCACTACGCACTTGTGTTCGCTGCTCGGGAGTACAGGGCAGGCACCTGCTGCTGCTTCTGTTGCTGCTGCTGCTGCAGCAGCAGCAACACCGGCCAGCAGCAACAACAGCGGCAGCGTGAAGAGTGCTTTGACTCCATTGCCGCTGCCAAACAGGAGGCCACGCCGTTACCTCTACAGAACACTTCCAGCAGCAGCAGCAGCAGCAGCAGCAGCAACAGCGGCAGCAGCAGCAGCAGCAGCAGCAGCAGTTGCTGCTGCAACAGGGAGGCATCTGTGCAGCGCGAGCTGCTGACAGCTCGCCGGCGGCAGCAGCCGGCGGTTTGGATTTCTTTTGAACTTCTTTGCCAAGAAATGGAAAAGACAAAAGGGTATAGACTGCTCTACGTCACAAACCCTAAACCCTAAACCCTAAACACTAAACCCTGGGGCTAGCTGGCCCAGTGCGGACAAGCTCACCCCCAAACCCTCGTGCATGTTCGCCTCCCCGTCTCTCAGACCCTAAACCCAAACCCTAAACCCTAAACCCTTCTGATGTATATGTGGCTTCGTATCACAAACCCTAAACCCTAAACCCTAAACCCGAACGGCTGTCGATTGCTGCACTTTCTAGGCTGTGACCCCGCTGGTAACAGCTCTGCGCCGTAAACCCTAAACCCTAAACCCTAAACCCTAAACCCTAGGGTAAAGGGCAATGGCAACCTAGAGGCAGATGCCTCGAAAACCGCTCACTGTGAAAATAATGAGACCGAAGCTTTAGGGTTCAGGGCTAGGGTTTAGGGTTTAGGGTTTAAATTGTAGTTCCCAGCGCCACTATTTCTCGCAGCGTTGCTGGCAGCAGCAGCAGCAGCAGCAGCTGCTGCTGCTGCTGCTGCTGCTGCTGCTGGCGGGTGGCTAGTATACCTGCTGGTTTCGCAGCTGCCCTGCACACACCATGAAACATCCAGCCCGTCCCATGGGCTAAGGGTTTAGGGTTTAGGGTTTAGGGTTTAGGATTTGCGGTTTAGGGTTTGCCTGTGACAATGTCGTAATTTCGACGGCGAGACGCAGAACGGCTTCTCCGGATGTGCTGAAGCAGCAAAAGATAAGCCCTTCAGCAGTGAGGGTTTAGGGTTAAGGGTTAGGATTTAGGGTTTAGGGTTCGGGTTTAGGGTTTAGGGTTTAGGGTTTGGGTACCTCTTTTTTGTCGGTTGTCTCCGTTATTCGCCTTGCCCTCTCGTAGTCAACAGCAGCACCTGATATGACGTCCCAGGGAGAGCTGAAGGACACAGAAGGGTTTGGGGTTTAGGGTTTAGGGTTTAGGGTTTAGAATCTAGGGTTTAGGATTTGTTATAAGGAGTGGGGTGGGGCCTCGCACAGTGAGCAGTTCAAGTCCAGTGGCCGCAGCTTTCGCTGCGGTACTGGCGAAATAGGGTTTAGGGTTTACGTTTAGGGTCTGCTGCCTAGGGTTTGGGGTTTGCTGTCTAGGGTTTAGGGTTTGCTGCCTAGGGTTTAGGGTTTACGGCCTAGTGTTTAGGGTTTACGGGACCCGCGAGGCGGCTGCCTGTGCGCTTCGATCCTTCTCTGCTCCTTCTGAAGACAAATGCCCTAAACCCTAAACCCTAATGCTTAAACCCTAAACCCTAAACCCTCAACCTTAGAACTTGGCTAGGTGTGGCTAGCTGAGCGGCAGCAGTAGCTAGCTAGCTAGCTAGCTAGCGAGCCAGTTAGTTCTGGCCAGCCGTGTTTAGCTAGCTAGCTAGCTAGCTATGGCTAGCTGCAGCTAGCTAGCTAGCCAGTTGTGGCCAGTTGTGGTTACCTGTCTATCTGGTTGTGGCTAGCTACAGCTCGCTAGCTAGCTAGCTATCTAATCTTGGCTAGCTCTAGCGACCTGGCTAGCTGGCTGTGGCTAGCTGGAGCTGGCTAGCTGGCTAGCTAGCTAGCTAGCTAGCTAGCTATCTAGTCGTGGCTTACTACTGCTGGCTAGGCATCTATCCAACTGGGTGGATAGCTAGCTGCGGCTTGCTGTGGTTAGCTAACTAGCTAGCTAGCCAGTGGCTAGCTAGCTAGCTAGCTAGTTGGCTAGCTGGGGTGGACTCGCCGTTTCTTCCATCTGTCTCCTTTGCTGCATTTGTTCCTCTCTCTCCAGCATCTTTTTGCTGCACCGGAGTCGCACCCAAACCCTAAACCCTAAACCCTAAACCCTTCGTTGCCACAAGCGCACCTCATGTGCACCAAACTGCAAGCTGTGGCGCCCCACAAAAGCTGCAGCTAGCCAAATGGAACAACAGCTAGCTAGCCAGCTAGCTAGCCAGCTAGCCAGTGGGTGCAGGTAAACAGGCTAGTTAACTGGCTAGCTAGCTAGCTAACAGGCTAGTTAACTGGCTAGCTAGCTAGCTAGCTAGCCAGCTAGCTAGCCATTTGCTAGACACCGTCTTCCCTCTGCTATCTATCCAGAGTCATCGATCTGTCTGCAGCTACTGCTGCTACTGCTACTACTGCTGCTGCTGGTGCTGCTGCTGCCGCTGCTGCTGCTGCTGTTGCTGTTGCTGCTGTTGCTGCTGCTGCTGCTGCTTGCCTGCGGGCAGCTTGGAAGATGCGGTTGGCTTGCTGCCTCCTGTGTCTGTCCTCCTCAGAGAGGTTTTTGTCCCACAGCGTTTGGGGGGGCGTTGAAGGCTCTGAAAACGCAAAAGTACGAGGGTTTAGGGTTTAGGGTTTAGGGTTTAGGGTCTGGGTTTTAGGGTTTAGGGGCTTGGGAGAAGAAGTAAGGACTTAGGATTGGGGTTTTATGGATTTGAGAGCTTCGTTTTAAAAACACTGGCTCTCGAGCCTTTGGTGTAGCGCCCAGGGTTTAGGGTTTAAAGTTTAGGGTTTAGGGTTTAGAGTTTACCTGTGTCGGTAGCTAGTTGCATGGCTTCCACTCGTATGAATTTCTCTCTTCTTTCTCTAAGCCGCTTTTTTTCTAGGGTTTCTCTGTCTGGAAAAACCCTCCATTTGTAGTTCGTCAGCATTGCTCTTGGGTTTAGGGTTTGGGGCTTAGGGTTTAGGGTTTAGGGTTTAGGATATAGGGTTCCGCGAGCGAGCCTAGCCACAAGACCAGCGGAAGAAAAAATAAAAAGAGAGCATCTAAGTTGCATTGAGTCTAAAGGGTTTAAAGTTCAGGGCTAAGGGGCTAGGGTTTAGCGTTTAGGGTTTAGGCTTAGGCTTTTGGGCTGCAGCCCTAGGGCTTAATGGGTGACCCGCGAGGGGACTAAACGGCGTAGGGTTTAGGGTTTAGGGTTTAGCTTCTATCTTTGACTATTTCATTACATGAAAGCATTCAAAATTTTCAGAAGGAAGTCTGGGAGACTCAAAGAGGGTTTGAGGTTTTAGGGTTTAGGGTTTGAGGTGTATAGGCAGGTCACCTCCTCTGCGGTCTTTCATTAATTTGCATGCGCCAAAAGGAGCAAAAGTGAAAATAAAAAGTAAATAAAGTTTAATGAACTTTTAATTTAATTAATTTGTTTTTCTTCTTTTCCTTTTTGCATCCGCGAGTCAACACCGTCGCCTGAGGTGTCTGTACACCCCAGCTCAACACATGCAATTGAACTCTTCAACAACTTCCAGAGGTTCTTTTTAAAAGTATTCTTTTTCTTGAATTTTGTTTTGCATTTTTCTTAAAAAAGCTTTCAATAAAAGTATATTTTCAGATCCAACTTCATCCAACTCCTCCAAACCCTCGAGTTAAGAGAGACGCTACAAGAAGACACCTACAGGGTTTAGGGCTTAGGGTCTAGGAAGGAATGATTCCACAATTTGTGGCTCTTCCTGAGATGCGCACTTTTAGGGTTTAGGGTTTAGGCGGGACTAAATTCAGCATATGCGGCCCCTCCCGAGATGCATGCCTCTAGGGTTTAGGGTTTAGGGTTTAGCCGCGCGCAGCCACGATGCTTTTAGTGTTTAGGGTTTAGAGTTCGCAGGCTCTTAGCTTGCTACAAAACGCGTAAATGAATTTATTTAACTAAACCCCAAAGCCTACACCCTAGACCCTAAACCCTAAACCCCAAACCCTAAACCCTAAACCCTTGTTTGGCAGTTGGCCCCTGGGGCCCTCAGCGAGGCCCTGGGGGCCCCCAAAGCCCCCCAAACGCTAAGGGGCCCCAAAGGGCACCAACAGCAATCTGGGGCCCCCAAAAAGCTCTTGGGGGCCCCCAAGAAGCTCTTGGGGGCCCCCAGAAGGCCAGGGGGGCCCCCAAAAGCCCGACGGGTCCCCAGAGGACTCCAGGGGGCCCCATGATACTGAACAGGGCCCCCAAAGACCCATGGGGGCCCCCAAAGACCCATTGGGGCCCCCAAGGACCCATGGGAGGCCCCAAAGACCCATGGGGGACCCCAAGGACCCATGGGGGCCCCCAAAGGCCCATGGAGGCCCCTAAAAGCCCACAGGGGCCCCTGAAGACCCATGGGGGCCCCCAAGGACCCACGGGGGCCCCCAAAGACCCACAGGGGACCCCATGGGCTTTTGACGCTGTGAGGAGGGGCCCCCTCAACTGCCGCCTACCCTGACTTGACTCTCTCCCTGACGCACTGCCAATGTTTGCTGCTGCTGCTGCTGCTGCTGCTGTTGTTGCTGCTGCTGCTGCTGCACGCGAGCGAACCTCGCAAGGACGCCCTGACTGCGCGCGGTAGAGGGGACGGAGCGGTCTAGTTGTGCTGCCGCATCTGCTGTTGCTGCTGCTGCTGCTGCGGCGGCGGCGTCTGCTGCTGCTGCTGCTGCTGCTGCGCTTGCCGCACGCTCTTCCACGTCCCCTCCCCCCTGCAGCTGCTGCTGCTGCTGCTGCTGCTTCTGCTGCTCCCCGGGACCCTTCCCAGCAGCAGCTGCTGCCTCCTTCTGGGGGGCCCCTCCTTGGGGGGCCCCCCCTGTGGGGCCCCCTTCGGGGGGCCCCCCCCCATTGGCTGCAAATTGATTTATTTGGGGCCCCAAACCTCCTGCTGCTGGCTCCTGGGCAAGGCGAGACAAGTGCTGGTTGCTGCTGCTGTGCTGCTGCTGCTGCTGCTGCTGCTGCTGTGGGCGCACTGGGGGGGAGCTAAAGCTTGTGTGCAGCAGCGGCTGCTGCTGCTGCTGGGCAGCGTCATCGGTGCGGCGGGCCTTTCTTTGCTGCTGCTGCTGCTGCTGCAGCTGCAGCAGCTCTTCTCCAGGAACCGCGCCGACGGCCTCCTGCTGCAGCTGCTGCAGCTGCTGCAGCTGCTGCTGCTCGGGCTCGTCTGCTGCTGGCTTGACAGCAGCAAACCACCGCCACAGCAGCAGCACCCAGACCAGCATCAGCAAAATCAGCACGCAAACAACCACCCGGCCCTGCAACAGCAACAGCAGCAGCAGAAGCAGCAGCAGCAGTAGCAGCAGCAGCAGCAGGGACCCTAGGCTAGCTGGCGGCTGCTTCTAATGGGCAAGGAGCCGAGGGGAGTCCCAGGGCTGCTGGAGTTCGGGCTAGCCAGGGTTTAGGGTTTGTTAGGGTTTAGGGTTTGTTAGGGTTTAGGGTTCGTTAGGGTTCAGGGTTTGCTAGGGTTTTGGGTTATTTAGGGCCTAAAAGGTTATATTTCGCAAGGGTTTAGGGCTTGCTAAAGAGTTGAGGGTTTGCGAGCTGGAAGGGTTTACGTTTTGTTAGGGTTTAGGGTTTACTGGGGCGTTCTAGGGTTTACCACAGTTCAGCGGCTGCCGCGGTTTAGGGTTTGCTGCATTCTGGACTGCTCAAGGGTTTAGGGTTTAGGGTTTAGGGTTTAGGCTTTGTGGCTTACAACTTTGCTGAGGCGCCTGCGGCCTCTTCCCCTCTTTTTGGGGGCCCCTATGAGCCCCCCCCTTGCTGCATATCTGCTGCTGCTGCTGCTGCTGTCTTTGCTGCTGCTGCTGCTGCTGCTGTTGCCGTAGAGGCGCCTAGAGTCCGCAGCCCAGCCATGCTGGCCCGCCTGCTGCCACAAACTGCCCGTGACCATTGTTGCTGCTGCTGCTGCTGCTGCCGCTGCTGCCGCTGCTGCTGCCGCTGCTGCCGCTGCTGCTGCCGCTGCTGCCGCTGCTGCGGAGGGCTGCTCTAGGGCTCACAGAGAGCCCTAACTTCTATGGGCCATGGCCGCTTGTACTAAACCCTAAACCCTAAACCCTAAACCCTCAAGGGGAAAATGCGGAGAAAACCGGCCACACAGGATTGCCCCCTAAAAGGAAGAAATGAGGGTTTAGGGTTTAGGGTTTAGGGTTTAGAGTTTGGCGAATTCGCGCGCACGAAAAGAACAAAAGTTGTCTCTTGAAGTAGCACAAGTCCCAAGGTCTTGGGAGTAAGTTCTAGGGTTTAGGGTTTAGGGTTTAGGGTTTAGGGTTGAGGGTTTAGGGTTTAGGGCTTGGAACTTGCGGCGCGGAGGTCATCTACGGAGGCCAGTGAGGGTTTTCTTTCTATAATTTGTTCACAGCTTGAAATTTAGGGTTTAGGGTTTAGGGTTTAGGGTTTGGGCTTTAGGGCTTAGGGTTTGGAACAGCTGCCGAAGAGGCCCTCGCGAGACAGCCCCAAACGGAGTCAAGCGTTTAGGGTTTGTGGCTAAACAGTTAGGGTTTAGGGTTAGAATCGAGGGTTTAGGGTTTAGGGTTTAGGGTTGAGGGTTTAGGGTTTAGGGTTTGACCTTGGCGTTTACAAGTACGGGAATGGCCCGGATGCTTCGGGGGCACAGTCTCCAGACTCTAGCCCTTGAATCCCAAACTCTCACTCCCGAACCCTAAACCCTAAACCCTAACCCCTAAACCCTAAACCCTAAACCCTAAAACATAAGGCGTAAAACCTAAAATCTCAGAAGAACAAACTCAACCCCTTGCTGCTTCGTATGTGTCACCAAGTACCTTCGCCTGGGGACCGAGGGTTTAGGGTTTAGGGTTTAGGGTTTAAAGCCTTTCACGATTAAACAGTTACGTTTAGAGTCTAGGGTTTATGCTCACGGCAAATAGATAACCCCTAGATGTGGGTTGCTGCTGTTGCTGCTGCTGAAGCCTTTGCTGTTGCTGCTGCCGCTGTGCGCGCTGCTGCTGCTGCTGCTTTGACTGCCGCTGCTGCTGCTGCTGCTTTGGCTGCTGCTTGTGCTTTGGCTGCTGCTGCTTTCGGCTGCTGCTGCAGTTGCTGCTGCAGCTGCTGATGCAGCTGCTGCTGCTGCGGCCCGTTCAGGCGTGTCGCTGCGTCTGAAGCAGCAGCAGGCGCTGCAGCTGACGCTGCTGCGGCTGCTGCTTCAGCTGCTGCTGCTGCCGCTGCTGCTGCTACTGCTGCCGCTGCTGGTGCCTCCCCATGTTGTGTACGAGCAGCTGCTGCTGTTGCTTCCCCTTTGGAAGCCCCCCAAGGGGCCCCCAAAGGGGCCCCTTGAGGGGCTAGCAGCTAGCTGCAGCTAGCTGTAGCTGTAGCTGCAGCTGCAGCAGCTAGCTGCAGCTAGCCGTAGCTGCAGCTGCAGCAGTTAGCTGCAGCTAGCTGCAGCAGCTAGCTACAAGAAACAGCTCCGCACCCCACGACTGCGCCGAAGTACTTTTGGAGGGGCCCCCAAAGTACCCTGGGGGCCCCCAGAGACCCCGGGGGCCCCTTAATACCTCGGGGGGCCCCTGGGGGGCCCCCTCTGAGGCCCCTAGGGGCCCCTCCAGCAGCTTTTAAGACCCTTTGAGGCCTCTGGGGGCCCAACAGCAGCACTTTAAGCCTTAGGGGCCCCCCGCCATTTCTAGGGGCCCCCCGGGGCCTTTCGGCGCCCCCAGGGGACCCCAGGGGCCCCCAGGAGCCCCCAGGAGCCCTCAGGGGCCCCCAGAGGCCCCCAGGGGCCCCCAGGGGCCCCCAGGGGCCCCCAAAGGACTCCAAATTAAACTCTTTTGGGGTTTAATTGAATTAATAAAAAATGTTAATAATGGCCTGTAGTCTTTGGCGGTAAGAAGAAAACAAATTAAAGTTTTGTTTCCACTGCCCAGTTGACAAGCTAGCTGGCTAGCTAGCTAGCTAGCTGGCTAGCTAGCTAGCAAGCTGGCTAGCTGGCTAGCCAGTTAAGTTGGGGAGGGCCAATTGGCTAGCTGGCTAGGCAGCCAGTTGGGCAGAGAGCTGGCTAGCTAGGCGGCTCGCCTAGGTTAGCTAGCTAGCGCCTTTTCTTTGGGTGGCTAGCCAGTTACTTGGCTAGCTAGCTAGCTAGCCAGAGTTTAGGGCCTAGGGTGTAGGGTTAAGGGTTTGTGGGTGCCTGCGTGGTTGCCTGGCTAGCTCTGCCGGCAGCCGATAAATTGCTAGCTGGCTAGCCAGCTGTTGAACTGGCTAGCTAGCCAGCTAGCTATCTACCAAGCTGGCTAGCTACAATTCTAGCCAGGTATTTAGCCAGCTAGCTGCATATCTAGCTACCTAGCTAGTCCTCTAGCTAGCCGATCCACTAGCCAGCCAGCTAGCCAGCTAGCCAGCTAGCTAGCCAGCTAGTTCTCCAGCTAGCTAGTTCGCTAGCTAGCCAGCTAGCTAGCTAGCTAGCCCTCCAGCTAGCTGGTTCGCTAGCTAGCTGGCTAGCTAACGGGCCAGCTAGCCAGCTAGCTAGCTAGCTACCTAGCAGGCCAGCTAGCTGGCTAGCTAGCTAGCTGGTGGGCCTGTTGGCGATGGCGTAGATGAGTTCGTTGATGGGAACTCTTTGGCTTTTGCTGCCGGTGCAAAAGAAAAGAAACTTTTGGAGATTTTCTTCAGCAGCGAAAAATCCAAAAAGAGACAAAAGAGATCTCAAAGAAGACAGAGACAAACAACCCTCGCTCTCCCTGCACGCAGCAGCAGCAGCAGCAGCAGCAGCAAGAGTTGTAGCAGCGGCAGCAGCAGCAGCAAGAGTTGCAGCGGCGGCAGCAGTAGCAGCAGCAGTTGCAGTAGCAGCAGCCGCAGCAGCAGCAGCAGAAGCAGCAGCAGCAGCAGCAGTGGCAGCAGCAGCAGCAGCAGCTTACAGTCCTAGTTGCTGCAGGGCCCCAAAGATGTCCATTTCGCTGAAGAGTTCCCTAAGGCCTTCGAGCTTCTGCTCTGCCTGCAGCAGCAAACGCATGCGCTAGCTGTTGCTGCTGCTAGTGCTGCTGCTGCTGCTGCTGCTGCTAGTGCCGCTGCTGCTGCTGTTGGCCTGATTTTGCATTCCTCGGCGCGCCTTCTTTGGATCCTCGATTTAGCCGGGAAGGGTTAAGGGTTTAGGGTTTAGGGTTTAGGGTTTGCAGCATCCCAGGGTTGAAAGTTTGTAGCTCCTCTAGGGTTTCGGGTTTCAAGAGTCTAGGGTTTAGGGTTTAGGGATTAGGGTTTACGTCTATGGCGAGTTCGAATATCTCGGCAACGAGGCGAATAACTCTGATGCTGCAGCAGCTTTCTTTTTTAATTTCTTGAAATTGTTTAAATGGCTGAAAGTGCTGCTGCAGCGCCATTTGCTGCTGCTGCTGCTGCTGCAGCGCGCGCTGCTGCTGCTGCTGCTGCTGCAGCAGAAGGTGGCGAGAGATGGGCGCGGAGGGCGGCAGCAGCAGCTGGCAAAAAGAGGCAAAGACAAATCTGCAAATAAGATAAAATAAAACAAAATAAAATAAATTGAATTACATTAGATTAAAATAATCTAAATTAAAACAAAGTTTAATTAAATTAAATTAAATTAAAATATAAAAAGGAATAAAAGTCAAATACAAGAATAAGAAAAGGATGAAATAAAATAAAAATATAACGAAAAGAATAAAAGTAAATGAAAAACAAAATAAAAAAGATGTTCAAAAATAAATTTTAAAAATTAAAAAAGAAAAATCATTTAGAAGGATTAAAAATAAACAAGAAAGGAATTTAAAAGAAGTTAAAAATAAATTCAAAAAAATAAAAAACAAAAATAAAGAAATTAAAAAATAACAAAAAATAGAAAGATAATTAAGAAAAGACAGAAAAGTAAAGATGATTGAAAAATAAATTGAAATTAAATTAAAAATAAATTAGAAACACACTAAAAATAAATTGAAAATAAATAAAAATAAATGAAAAGAATTTAAAATAAAAAAGAATTTAAATTGAATTAATTATTTTCCAATTATTCTTTCCCCCTTTTTTCAGTTTAAATTAATTTCAAAAGTTATAAATTAAAAATAAATGAAAAAAGATAAAACGAAAAAGAAATGCACAAAAATAAAATGATAAAAAGTGACCCTTAAATAAATAGTAATAAATAATATATAAATAATAAATAAGGAATAATAAATGAATGAATTAAAAATGTATAAACCAATGTATAATAAAGGAACAAGGAAACAATAAATGAATAAATAAATAAATAAATAAATAAATAAATAAGTAAATAAATAAACAGATAAATAAATAAATAAATAAATAAATAAATAAATGGGTGCTAAACATATGGCGAAATAAATAAATAACACGTAAGAAAAAAATAATAACAAATAAATAATAAATAAATAAATAATAAATTAGCTAGGAGTAATTGAAGAATAAATAAATAAATAAATAAATAATAATACAAAATAAAATAAATAAAATAAATAAATACAAGTGGCCGCCAGTGTGTATCTGTTAACGGATTTTTCGATGAATTTTGCTGCTGCTCCTAGGGTTTAGAGTATAGCGTTTAGGGTTTAGGGTTTAGGGTTTAGGGTTTAGGGTTTTACCAGCTTCCCCTGTTGTATCTGTTGAGGGTTTTGGCGATGAATCTTGCTGCTGCTCCTAGGGTTTAGGGTTTAGGGTTTAGGGTAGGGTTTAGGGTTTAGGGTTTCCTGGCCACCCCTGCTGTATCTGTTGGGGGTTTTGGCGATGAATTTTGCTGCTGCTCCTAGGGTTTACGGTTTAGGGTTTAGGGTTTATGGTTTACCGGCCTCCCCTGCTGTTTTGGCGAGGAATTTTACTGCTGCTCCTAGGGTTTAGGGTTTAGGGTTTAGGGTTTACCAGCCTCCCCTGTTGTATCTGTTGGGGGTTTTGGCGATGAATCTTGCTGCTGCTCCTACGGTTTAG